AGGAGGGGAAGGAAGGAATGAGTGAGTGGCACCGGTGGCAGCAGTGCTTACCCCTGGACTCCAGAGCTGTGTGAAAGCAGGGGCTGCACCCAGACTCCACAACAAGAGCTCACATGCAGCATAGCCAAAGCGGTTGTGACTGTGCCACTGCACCCCACTCTGGATCTGCCTTCAGGGCATTGTCTTAACTTGATGCCAGCCCCTTGGATTCCTGTGACCATTGTTCACAGCTCTTTCCCAGCTGCCACAGAATTGTCTCTGCCGTACTTTATCCTATTTCCAAAGTCCCCCAATACACTCCCAATGCTGGGAACTTATGTGATGGGGACAAGAGCTGGCAGAACTGGAAAAGCTGACTGTACAACAGTTTGGAAATCTCATTGGAAACAGACATTCAAGGGGAAGCCAGAAGGCAGAGGGAGTCACCAGGAAGGGGAGGAGACCTGTGTATACTTTGCACAGAGGCGTGGTCCAGAGACCACTGCTAATTCTCAGCATCTTGACACCTGTGGGGATTCTGATTTTCATTCTCCAGTGAGCAAGGAGAATGAGGAGAGCAGGAAAAGGCTGACTTTGCACTGCATGTGTTGTGTTCAGCCGTTCTGAGACATGTCAGTGAGTGCACATCCATAAAAACAATGTTCTGTAGATCCCTCTGTGAAAAGGAGGGTATTCTATAAATAATGTTATTCAACAATGTGAGCTCACGCCACACTAATAGTAGGGCCTGAGTTTTGGGGTTATCCATCTCTCCCTTCTGCACTCACTAGTGTGGCAGGTTGCAAATGCAACACAGTTTGATTCCAATGCTCACAGAAAGGAGGAGGAGGCAAGGAACCTACACCAACTGCGTGCCACAGAGTATAGCCCCATAGGATCTCCATGCACCACAGCACAGTGAACATTGTGGAATACAAGCGAGTGAATTTGCTTTATTCTGGAATCAATTAATAGTACTCCCTATGTAGGAAAGGAGGGTGGGGAGAACAAACACAGTGACTCTTGTGGCCTTTTGTGGCAATGGTTGCAGAAGGAAGGAGCGCTTATTGTACCATGTTTCCTCCCCCTGCCCCTGACCCCCACCATTTTTTTGTTTCTAGTTAGGTTTAAGTATTATTTTGTGTTTTAATAGCCATACCAAAGGATCAAATAAAAGTACCCATTGAACATGAACTCTTTGCTGTTATCTTTTTATATTAAACCTGAAAAGCAGAGAGAGAGAATAAAGATCATTGGCGTGAATGATACCTGTAATATTTATATGCGTATTATATGATCTTCTGTTTGTTTGCTTAGGTCATGAGTTAAGTCAGTCTTCAGTTAGCTTGGTCATCAGGGTTTCAGACAGGTCATTCACTGGCGTACTTAGTGGATAGTGCAGGTGTCAAGGTTTTTTTAAAGTTTTTTTCCCTGTCAAAGCTAAGTGAATCAAGGTGAGGTCAGCTATCAGGCACAAATACAAGTAACAAGAGATTCTGTGGTTTTGACTGATGTTCTCGAAAGCTCAGAGCAGTTGAAGAGGCATATGCTAGTGGAAGGTGCTGGAAGGAGCCCCATCCCCAGAAGCAGGGTTACAAAGCAAAAATCAGGCCTACCTATGTCTTCAAGGAAATACTAAGCTGAAGTAAAATGATGAGCATGGGTGGTTTTGTTATTTTAGCTCCTCTCTCCAACTTGTTCTGATTCAATGCATAAAAATGTGTAAGGACTTAGTGTTTTCTGTATAGGTATTTTGCAATCCTGCTTAGCCAGCTGCCCCTCTCGTTGACTAATCTTGTTTAGACATGTATTTCTTTGGAGGAAGTGGGTGCATCTACATGAGATGCTGGACTCGAGATAAGAGTTAATTTCTGCTTAGTAAGCATTTGCAATGTAGACTGTGATGCTACTGTGGAGTAATTGGCTCTAATCATGAGTAAATTGGCTACCTGAAAATGCAAGTAACAAATAAACTCTTGACTGCTTATTGCACAGTAGCACACATGTAGACACCTGACCAGAAACACGTTTGCTCCCAGTCAGCCAGGCAGCAGGGGGAGGGAGACTACTTCTTGCTCTGGGAACTGCCTGATGCTGGGGCAGACTTTACCACTAGATCCCAGATGGGGACATTGTCCTTCTGTCCCAGAGCAGGGAGCTCCCAGCCCCCGCTCCATGATCATGGGGCAAGTACTTGGAAATCCTTATCTCCCAGCCTGAGCCCCATGATCACAGGACCCAAGCTGGGAGATTCTTAGCTCACACAGCCAGCTCTGCAGTCATGGGGCTGGCGCTGGGAGATGCTTCTCTCCCAGCACAAGGTCTGCAGTCACAGGGTCATACTGGGAGATTCCTCACTACCAGCACCAGCTCCATGGTCATGGGGCCTGAGCTAGAGGTAAATATCTCCCAGCCTGAGCCCCACAGTCGTGGGACCCAGGCTGGGAGATCCTTATCTTGTAGGATAAAGATCTCCCAGCCTGGGTCCCGCAACTGTGGGGCTCAGGCTGGGATATAAAATCTCCCAGCCCTGGCCCCGCTATCCCAGAGTGGGGGCTGGGAGCTCCCTGCTACCAGGGCAGGGAAACATTGTCCCTTCCAGGGCTCTGGTGGCAGAGCCAGACCCAGCAGCAGGCAGGTCCTAGGGGCAGGGAACAATCTCCCAACCTCTGCTGCCCAGCTGATTGGGAGCACATTTGCTCCCGGTCAGGCATCTACAAGTGCACTATTGAACAGTTACCAATGTTGAATAAATTTGCTATTTGGATTTGCAGGTAGCAAATTTACTCATGATTAAAGTCAAGTACTGTGTAATAAGCATCTGCACATGTAGACATGGACACGTACTGCACAGTAATTAGCTGTACTGCACAGTTAAGCATCTCATGTATATACACCCACTGACTGCTGTTTCTGCTATTGTCAATACAAATGCACTACTTATTACAAGTGCTTTAACTGTTTTGCCTTCTTTTTCTATTCCTTAAAATACTGAACGTAAAAGAATTTTTTTTCAGTAATAAATGGGTGTGTAGTTCCTGTGTAAAGCCAATGTATACTTTACAATTTCTCTCTGAGTCCATAAGGCAACCAACTGATATCAGACTATATCTCTCCAAATCCTGGAAGGCTACCTTATAGTAACACACTACAAAATTGTGTGTCAATAACCTAGTGATACTTGGTATACAGGATTTTAAACATCTTTATTTCCCCCCAGAATTAAAGCTTGAAACTTCGTTTCACAATATGAAGATGCTACTGACTTTGTTCCTCCTCTTTATTGGGATTCAGACTTCAAAGAATCAGGACACTGGTATTTTAGTATCCTTTTTTTATTCCATTATGTTGCAAGAGGTTCTTTTTTCCCTTTTTCTTTTTTGATACAGTTTTCTGTCTTCACTTAAAATTGTGAAATCTGAGCCTCTTGAGTTTGGATCCTTCTGTGTTGTTAAAATATTCATAGTTCACTCAAGTTGTGTTTGAATAATGGAGATGGGCTCTTGGTTTAAATACTGTAAGTTGCGACTAACATGGTCAGAAACCTTGATGTTCTTGCACAGATGGAGTGTCATATTCAAACTTAAGGCTGAAAATGCACAAAGCCCAACCACTTGCTTAGTTGTTTCAGGGCTATGCATAGTATTCAGTGGGGCAGCATGTGCAAGAAATTTCTCCAGTCCTCCATCCCCTACTCTCAGGGAGTGCTCTCTTGAAGCTGGGGATGATCATCAGCTTACCAAAAGTACTCAGCGCTTGTGAGTGACAGATAACTAAGCACAGAGGAATCAGGCAGAAAGAAAAAGAAGCTTTTGCCATGTAGCAAGCAGCAGAATGGAGCTCTAAACAGGGTGATACAGGGGTTCGTAGTCACTACACAGAAATATAAAAAATATAAAATCTATGTTCTCAGAACACAACAATAAAAAAGAGAAAATGCTTGGGTTAGAAGAGCAATTTTTAGCTTTTTGGTACGTCTTTCTAAAAATCTCAGATAAACTCTTCCACGTTATGTTGTTTTATCTCTTGTTTTATTCATCTACGTATTGTAGTAATAAAATCTAAGTAGTAAGCAATAACATTTACTTTTCTAATTTTTCAGCCCCTGAGTCTGCAGATATTGTCTTTTTGATTGACAGCTCCGATACCCTGGGAAAGAAGGCATTCCCTGCGTTAAAAAATGTCATGATCAAAATCATTAATAATCTACCAGTAGCTCCTAACAAATACCGTATTGCACTTGCCCAGTACAGTGATGATTTGCAAAATGAATTTCTGGTAGACAGATATAAAACAAAGACCCTTATGATAAACCACATCAGAAAGAATTTGGTATTCAAGGGTGGGTCCATAAGAACTGGCAATGCTCTGCAAAAGGTTCGTGCAACCTATTTCAAAGAACCAATTCATCCAAGTGACAAACCGCAGATTTTGGTAGTTGTGACTTCGGGGACCTCAGAAGATGATGTAAAGCAGGCTGCCAATGTTTTAAAAAGAAGTGGGGTGAAAATCATAGCTGTAGGACTACAGAAAGCTTCTCCTGAAGAACTGCAATCAATGGCAACCCAAGAATTTTTTTATGAGTATCCCACAATACGAAACCTCTCTGAGTTTTCTCAGAATATTCCCATGATCATAAAGGAAGTTATCCAAGCAGATGTTAATGGCATAATCCCTACACCTACGGTTGACCTTGAAACTGTAGAAGGTAAGAAATTCAATGTTGTAAAAGAAAGAGTGATCACATTGTTCAAGAAATGCATCCAATTTTAAAAAGAAAAAAACCTTAGTAATGTATTTTGGTCTGATTTTTTAATCTATTAGGTAGCAGGCATATTTTAAAATAAAGAAAAGAGCAGACATGCACATGGCATCTGTGCACCATTAAACATGCATGCGACACTGAGCTTCTGAAAACCAGTACCTTATGTATTCATGACTGTATGCATGATTATCTCTGCACTCCGCAAAATTGAAGGGAGAGTGGGTGGAGTCATAAGTATTCTTACAGTTGTGGTAATTTTGAAGACAGTAGATTTAGACCTTTTACATTCACATGAATGACTGATAATAGGTACCAGTTTACCATAATAAGTACTAGATAGCTGCAAACCTGTGACCTGTTTGCAGTGTAAAAATATTTATGTTCCTTTCCTAGTTCCTTTATCCACTATAATTGGGGACCTACTGAATTCATGATTTTGTGGAAATTGTGCATTGTCTGTGAAATCCATGGGGGAAAAACCTTACTAAAAATAAAATGCTAGCTCCCCAGTAGTCCTCATGGCCACTACAGCCTGGCTGTACAGCCTGCCACTGTGGGGGTGGGAGTGGCTACCAACACAAAGGGGAGCAGCCAAGACGCACTGTAATAAGCCCACAAAAATGACAGATAGTCCTGCAATCTGTCTGTGAAATCGGCCACCTGCCTCCTTGATTTGGGTAGGTCCCTAATTATAATTAGTTTGGGTGTTGCAGATAGCTAATGTCTTTTTATAGAATCCAAGGCTGGTTTAGGACCAAGGTCATTCAAAACAATTGTCAATGCCTTCTCTAAAAGAAATGTTCTCCATCAAATATTTAGTGATGCCTCCAGACCCACAGCTGGAACATCCATGATAGTTTTGTCTGCCTAATAAGAACTTTCAGAAGTACATTTGCCAAGTTAAAATGAGCATGCATATGTGCATACGTGCACACACGTGCACACACATACCCAGTACTGTCATACCCCAAGAATCTGAGTGCTCTAAACCTGTATCCTTCAAGGCATAGACGAGCAAATACTAAATGGTGAAGGAATAAAATTTCCTGTAGGCAGATTACTTTATAACTGCCTTCTTCAGGATTTCTTGAACTTTCCTGTAAAGCAGGTGGTATTGATTGACTACTGTTGGAGGCAAGCCACTACCTTAAGAGGAACTCCTAGTTTTGTTGAGCATGGCAACATGGATGAGAGGAGTTATTTTAGAAGATTGTTCCATTAATTGGGGGGAAAGCAAAAACACCCATGACCAAAGAATAGACAAGTAATATTGCATTCTTTTCCTTTTTTTCCTTATTGCAGTCTGTGAAAGAGATTCAATTTCTGATGTTGTGTTCATAGTGGATGAAGGTGCTCCAAGAGCAAACTTTGAGCATGTTAAAACATTCCTGGAAAACACAGTGTCCTTGCTTGATGTGAAGAAGGATTGCATAAGAACTGGCCTGGTGACATACAGCTCCGAACCACATGTGATATCTTTACTGAACGCAGAAACAAACCGTGCTGATATTCTAAATAAAATACAGGGGCTTTCTTCCAGGGCAGGGAAAGCCAATATGGGCGCAGCCCTTAAAGTGACAAGGGAAAAAGTTTTTGTTGAATATGCTGGAAGCAGAAAGACTCAAAGTGTAAACCAAATAGCCACACTGATCACTCACAGAGCCTCAGACGACCATGTGAGTGAAGCAGCTCGTGATCTTCGTAGAACCGGTGTCACTGTGTTTGCCATAGGCGTTGAAAATGCTAATGAAACCCAATTGACTCAGATAGCATCATATCCTCAGCCACAGTATGTTACTACTCTAAAAAAATTTGTTGACTTGACAAAAGAGGATACAAACAGAAATTTTAGAAAGAAACTCTTCAATCAAATACAGAACAAGCTCTATGTCCAGACTGAGAGAAGCAAAGATCTCAAAACAGGTAGAGTTTTCCATTGTTTCCCAATAATGCTATTTCTTTTCTTCATAATAGTGGAAGAGTTTTTAACCAGAGACACTCTTAAAACAAAATGTGGGTCCAGAAAATTCCAAATTGTGGATTATTTTCTAAATTTTGCATTTGCGCTATTTCTGTTTCTTGGCTGAATACCCTAAGTCTTTAGAGAAGTGCAATTCTTGCCAGGAGCTTGGACCTCTCTCTCAGACCTGTGTTATCCAGTTCATTCTATGTCATGGCTCTGGTTCAGGATCTCCTAAAGCAAAAAATTGTCTGTCTTGAGTCCCAAAAATATTATGCCTAAATTACTGCATATTTCATGGGTTTATCAAGGTAGGCAGTTTCTGACAAATGCATTACATGTTACCGTAAATGTGACTGGATGTTCTAGATACATTGTAGGGTACCTTATTGGTTTTGAGATGTGAAACTTTCCAAAGCCAAATCATCCTTTCTTTTGTCTAAACTATATTCAAGGTCTGTTGCCTGCTATTTGCAGAATATAGAAATGAAAAATTCCTAGCAATAGAATGTTGAGTAAATGCTGTTTTTATTCATTCTTTTAAAAGTTGGGCAATTTCTAATAAACACAGTTACCACAGTTTTGTACATTCTTATATATATAAAATATATAAGATATTTTTATATATATATAAAAATGTATTATACTATCTCCAGTTCCAGTTCATTATTATTTTTAATAACAATAAGTATAATCTCACCTTCCATGGAATTATGCCAATACAGAAAAGGAGGTTTGGAAATTTAAAGTAAAAAGAGAAAATTATATGAAACAATGTGATGGATGGTGAGGGAGAGTGGGGAATGATGGGATGCTGGGAGATCAAGAGACCCCCTATAGTGCTAAAATGTGCTGTACAGATGTTATATGTAGTGCTACAGAGAAGTTTCTATTTCACCCAGGAACACTTTTGTGACAGTTCTCCCTTTTTTTGTAGCATTATAGGGGAGGTGCAAGTCTTTCCAATCAACTTTGGTAGCGCTAAAAGGCATTTCTGGTATCACAGTTGTAATGTCTATCCATGGCCTTTATGAAAGGTTTGGGATAAAACTGGGTCTTTGCCTTTCTGTGTTTGGAAGGGTGTTCAGCCTAGGAGAGGACAGGTTGTCTCTCCCCTGCTGCTCCGGCAAGCATGCCAATCTATTTCCTTTGAAACCTCTGGTGCACAGGTGCCAAAGATATGGTTTGCAGGCCAGATATCCATCATTGAGCCCCCAGTGCTGCCTGTAAGTCTTAGGGTGACCCACAGGCAGCACTCCGGGCGTACTGGATGGTGCTGCCTGCCACATGGAGCTCTAGAGCAGCCACCACATGTAGTGCAACCACTCTGGGGCTGTTCTGCATGCAAAGGTTGCTCCGCTGCTCTGGGACACAAGCACCCACAACACCCACTCTGGATCCAAAATGCTGATCTGCAGTCTCTGATGTTTCTTTCTCTCATTTTTTCCCTCCACACTAACATTACGTACATTTTCTGCTTCCATGTAGGATGTATGGACACAGAGGAAGCTGATATATATCTGCTTATTGATGGCTCAACAAGCATCAACATCCCTGACTTCAAGGACATAAAAGAGTTTGTGAAGGAAGTGATTGAGATGTTTAACATAGGACCAAATAACGTTCGGTTTGGAGTTGTGCAGTATTCACACAAAATAGAACGGGAGTTTACACTTGATCAATACCAGAAAAAAGGTGATTTAGTGAGGGCCATTGACAATGTTAGGCAAATATATGGAGACACTTATACAGGAAAGGCTCTAGAATACATGCAGCCACTGTTTACAGAAGCAAAGGAGCAGCGAAGAGTACCTTGTCACCTCATCGTCCTCACAGATGGAGAAGCACATGACAGGGTAAAAGAACCTGCCGATAAACTGAGGGCTAACCAAGTTAATGTTTATGCCATCGGTATAAAAGGTGCTAATAAAACACAACTAGAAGAGATTTCAGCCTCAAAAGCCAGGACCTATTTTGTAAATGACTTTGACTCCTTGAAGGTCATAAAAGATGAATTAGTTCAAAAGATCTGTTCCAAAGAAGGTAAGGGAAATGTTGACTTTGAACACAGACCACAGGTTGCCTTCTGTTGATTTACCAAACAAGTATTTCAGATTCCAGAAAGGATACTCTTACTCTAGTCTCAACAACTGAAACTTTTAAATGGAGATGAACACATATTGAACTGAAGCGTACAAGACATGCAGTTTTGTAATAGAATTCTCCAGTGCAGGTATTGCATACACTTTTAAAGAGTAAGGTGATTCAGGACACACGTTTCCCTTTTTCCCCAACAACGTGACAAACAGTATGGTTTTTCAGCTACAGGGAGTGGCTCAATAGCACACCTAGAAATGGAAATTTGGATGGACCCCACATATGGTGGATGGGCCATAACCAAAGGCTCAATGCCACAGCAAATCTTTTATATTACAAATGATTTTAAGTTATTAAAATTCAAAGTACATTGAACATTGTCCATATAAATCCCACCTTCAACATGCAAATTGGGAAAAAAAGAGACCCAAATACTTTACATCAATTTACTTCAACTTTGCATACACATAGTCTGGGTGAGTCTGCACTGAGCTTTTTTTTCTCTCTCCTTCCCTCTGCCCTCCAGTACTTTTGTGTTGCTTGTTTCCCAGTTTAGACAACTTAATCATACATTGTGCAGCTGTCCACAGAACACTTTTTCTCCTGGTAGGTGGCACTCGGATGGGATGACATCTGAGATCTTTGTCTCTGTAAAGTCAAACTTTGGTGCCTGAAAGTCTTCAAAAACTCCCAAAAAGTAGGAGGAAAGTTAATAAAACTGTCATGGTTTTAATAGGGGTTTTTTTACCTTGAGATGCCAGTCTTAATACAGTCTCTCTGAGCTAACCTTGAATCAAGCTGCAGTCACAGCTTCTTTTTATAAGGTTGAGCAAAATGGCTCCTTCAGCACAGAGATTGAGCCTTAAGGTATAACAGCTCTGTGTATCACCATGGCCCCATCCAGTTTAGCTTAACTTCCAAGGATGAGTTTATGCTTACAGAAAAGGCCACCAGAAATAACTACAGGGACACACACAGCCTTTCTAAGACAAAACAACATTTATTAGTGGCTCTTAACCAGAAAACAACATGCAAAGATTTTAGGTTAGTGTGGCCAAACCAACCTTATGCCAGAATCCATAGATACAGGGTAACTACCCAACCTACCATGTACTTTTGGAATCCATCTTGTCAGACTGGCCTATGTCTTTCTGCTTCTGGGCTGCAGCTGAACTTATTAGGGTATGGGCACAGGTACTTTTGGAGCAGTTTCAAAAGAAAAGCATTTCAAAAGGGCAACGGCTGTTACTTTCCAATTGTTATGGGTGAACAAACTGAGAATAATACAAATTAAACAAATTATTCCAACTTTATCCCTGAATGAAGACTATAATTGGAGCATTTGTATCATTCCCAGCTTGTTCACATGTAATAGAATGTAAGAGGTGCTGGCCTTTTGAAAGGGCTCCAAATATATCTGTGCTTATACCCTGAAGTCATCTCTTCATTCCCAGGTCTGTTGCCTCAAAACATTAAAAGTTAATGTCCAGACATTGGGGCGTCTGTCTTCACCAGAGTGTTTCTTCCTTTGGTGGGCAGACCCGTTCAGTTGCAAATGGATGGCTTCCTACCAGTGAAGGTACCTAAATGCTGTTCACCCACGCTTTACTTTCCTCATTATGGAGTGGAGGTTAACCATTTTACCACCGGGTTCAACAGTTGGGGAAGTGGTGGCAAGAAAATTATTCATTTTATGAAATGTGAGCATTCTTTGTTAGGCAAAATCTTCTAGCAATGAACTTTATACGGTTGGTACCTGTAATAGATAGGTATGCTTTCTTATAGTGTTATTTGCTTTATCACCTGTAAATCCTTGAATCTTTTGTGCCTGCTTTGCTTTGAAAATTATTTCTTTTGCATAAGTGAAAGTGAATTACACAACAAACTGCAGGATACAGCTCTTGCATGCATGGAGTTATATATGCTCAGCAACACTCTTCTCTGCTATTTCACTTAAGCTATAGCAGGGCTGTCAGCCCTTTGACACCTGCCGTCAGCCCAGATGTTTTCGCACACATAAGGATACATATCTGAAAAAAATTACAGGAGCCTTAAATAAGACACTTGGGATAAAAACAGACAACCTGTTTAATGCAGCTCAGGTTGATCTGGGATATGACTCCCCTCAAAACAGATATGGCACAGCCATGTACACATGGGACAATTAATTCAACTTAGCGGTGATGATTCTGAGGCAGTGTTAATTCATCATTCACAGGTGCTTTATGTGGAATAATAGGCTTGTCCCCCTGTAGAGGCCCTCTGTAAGTGGTTTGCTCTGAGATAAAATGCTCAAAAGCAAATCCAGCCTGTTGTCTGTTTTTAGCCTGGTACTACCACAGAGTGATGCTGGAGGAACTGCCCTGAAATGGGCTGCACCTAGTCTGTCAGGGCTACCTCTTGAACTGGGAGGTATATAGCTGCCTCCATGCACTGCTGTATACCATCCTGGCGTGGTATAGGTTACTCAGCAGTGAAATATCTTTATCTTCTTGGGACAAAATCACTAATTTTTAACAATGTTTTGGAATGCCTGGGTACCCTTTTTTCAAGTTGAGACAGTCTCAGCTAAACCCCGAAATTTGGTAGCTCCACTGATGCCTCCTGGTGGGCTGCAGGGATCTGCTTGCAGCTGCCTCTTCCAAAAAACACTATGGCATTTTAGGTGGCCATTTCACCTTATTTCTTTCTGCTCCTCCCCAGTGGAATCTAATAATGAAGTAGGTAGCAACAGTAACCAAATGTAAAAGGGCACCTCATTGCACCCCCCCCATATATGGACCCATTTATTCTTCCATGTGCCCAGTTCTCCTCCTCCATTCTT